GTATATACCTTCAGTTTCCCACATTGAGTTTAATGTGGTACAACTTAAACACTGACTTGTAGCATATTTTACTTCATATATTGCAGTTTTGTAGTGAATTCTATAGGAAATACTTCAGCATGAAGCCTAACTGTCAGTATTATTAGAGGAGCCTGTTTGCCTCTTAGCTTTTGAAAGAACAACTGTTTATAATATTTTAACTGGAAAATGTCTTTAAAATACAGTTTAACCTCCGTTTTAACCCCTTCATTTCCTAATGTGTGTGTACATATATGTAATAATCAGAAAAGCGGATATTGTTGATTACAGTACCTGGCAACTGCAGTCGGTAAATTACTGTAAATTTACAGAGCCTTTTTTTTTACAGTGTGGTCTTATATTGTACTACTTGAAAATGCATGCTGCTCTTTACATTATGTGAATATTTCATGATGAATGGATAGATGATCCAAGATTTCTTGTTACATTAATGTTAATGTTTTTTTCCTTCTCTGATGAAGTTGCCATGTTGGAGATACGCATGCTTTGTTATGACAGTGACTATATGCTGTGTTGTATATTAGCCGAGCCGTTGCAGGTAGTCAGTAGCGAAGGAAGGCGTGCTTCGTTCGACAGTGCCAGCGTTCCTGATGTAAAAACAAGACGGAGAGAGAGAGAGAGAGAGAGAGGGTGAGAGAAAGAGAGAGAGAGAGCGCTGTCCTTGTGTGACACAGTCATATGCTATCAATATGCTGCCATGTTCTCTTGGAGCGCAGTCTCCCTTTTAATGGGGCCCGGTGGTTAGAACATGGCAGGCGCTTCACAGGGACACTGTATTGTTATGCTTTCATTTACTTTTTTGGTCCTTTTTCGTTTAGCGCTCCTTTTGGGGGCCTACAAAGACACTCATTTCCATGAAGCGCTGCCAAGATGGGATGGGAAAACAAAAGTGTGTGCGTGTGTGTGTGTGTGTGCGAGGTGCAGGGTGGGGGTTCTCCAAGGCACAGTGGTCTCCAGTTATTACATGAAATCATTAGACGTGGAACGTCTTGGCCCGAGTTGGGAAAACACGAAGCCCGCAGTCTCAATCTCGCGCTCCACGCTCCCAGCCCACCGACCGCATGGCGTCAACGGAGCCTTTCGCACCAGCCCCACCGCTTTAGAGGACACCAGAATCCGATTCGCCTTTACTGTCGCTTTCTGGGGCGCAAAATTTATGACGTATCCATGTTCTTAAGCCAAGTGGGAGAGGACCTTGCCGCGATGCTTATGCATTCATGTTTTGCATTCTCAGGGTGAGTATTGCTTTTGGCCGAAAAGCAGACTTTGACCAGCCAAAAAGACTCAAAAGTCACTCAGATATGAACAGATCTTTTCACACCGCAATCCAGAGAATAGATACCATGTATACGTTGTAGCTTGTGGTGATTTGTAAGAGCCAACTGCACTATATTTAGTGTCTTTTTGCCTACAAGCACAGTAACTTCCATAAAACTGTACCAAAAGGAATGGGAAAACAAAACTGGGTTATTATTGGTAATTTATGGATTTTTTTTTTCAGTGAAAGTATGATCATTACACCCCAAAGGTCTTATTTAAGTGTACCTTGTATATTCAGAACATTTCAGAAGAGAGCTTTGGTCAGCACTTGCAGAATATGATATCCAAGGCCAGGATTTAAGCCAGAATAACATACATGAAGGCGAGGAGTAATATTCTCTGAATACCCTGTGAAGTACATATGGGAACAGCAGGGGCTCCATAATGTCTTATAGCTAGTGTTTCAGTATTAACATATATAGCTCAAAGCTGTGTGTGGTACGATAGAACTTATACCTTGGGTTCTGTGAGATTAAGAGAACCCTTGTGAGGACTTTGAGGTAGCATGTAGAGTACTGTACCCAAAAAGGTCCAGTCACACTTTATTTGGATGATCCATTACAGATGATCTACAGATACTTAAATTATTAGCAAAATTTCTGGTGATAGTTGATTATCGACAACATTATGGTTATCAGGTTTAGGAGTAGGTGTAGGTTTTGCCTTAAGGTTAGGGTTGGTGTTCACACTCGAGTTCAGTTGCATTTAATATATATTTAGTTGATTGTTGTTTAAAGATATACTGAGCATCTACAAAGCATCTACAGTGGACCATCCAAATAAAGTGTTACGAAAAGTCCTTTTTATTTATTTAATTTCCAGTGAAAATGGCCATTAAGTACAATTATTCATTTTTTTCAGGATGAAATAAAAAGTATTAGATATAAGATAATCCACTTGCATAAGTGAATAAATGACAAAACTGGAATACAGAAAAAGGGATATAGAAAAAATGAGATTCTTTACAACTGACCACCAAAACTGTCCCAAAACAGTAAAGGAACTAGGAGAAAATAAGGCTCCAGCTCTGAAAAAGTCCAAAGTTCTCCACTGTGAGAAGACAAGTCAGCGCTATGGCTCTGAAAGCTGATGCTGCTGTCAGAACATTGGACTGACCGCCCCAGAGTCCAGACTTCAACTTCACTGAATGTGTTTGGGATTACTTGGATCATGAGAAGAAGAAAGTGTAACCAACTTCCAAGGCTGAACCTGCAGATTTCTTTAAAAACCTAAAAACTGGTCTCCTGAAAAGAGTGGAAGCTGTAGTCAAGGCAAAAAGTGGACACATTAAATGCTGAAAAAAATTATACTTGGCTGGAAATGAAATAAATGAGGGGTCTTCAATGCAGCAGTTCTAACATTGCATCAACTCCAGGTGAAGTTTCTTCATGTTCTTCATGTTTTTTGTCCGAACAGCAACAACTTTGCTAAGCCACTCTAAAAAGTCCAACCTTGCCCTTCTTTCTTTTCAGGAGCTCAGTGTTGAGGGAAATGTAGCAGTGGAGGTTTCAGCGGGCCGCCTTAGAGCGAGAAGCGTGTTGGTGCCAAGAAGGTCACTACAAGCTACAGCTCATTTCTCCCCTTTATTTCCATCATGGATTTTTTCTGAAACCTCGCAAACCCACATATCTGGTTTGTGTCACTCTCCCCTTTCTCCTCCACCCCCCCCCCTTTCCCCTCCGTACCCCTTCATCCTTGCTAGTCGCCATGCCAAAAAGCGAGGCGTCTGATTTAGAGCGAAAGCAACGAGAAGAGATGGCTCTCCACGTAATTACAGACTCTCTCTTATCTCTGGGACGGAATAAAAAACACATTCCACGCAGACAGTCTCAGCGTTGGCCTGCGGAGAGCAAATAAAAAGACACTGCTGTTAGGGAATTGGAGAGCACTTTGGTAGTTTGATTAGAAACCGATGTGATGGCGGCTGCTGAAAGCTCGCTGTGGCAGCTCTGAAGCTTAGCGTTTGGGACGGCAGCCTTCGCAAAGGCAATATAGGGCACTGACACAGAGGAAGTGCATGTAACCAGATGAAGAACCCGTGTGGTTTTTGACTCGGTCAACCAGCACGACAGGCTTTAGGAAATGATGCAAACGTGCAGTATGTAAAATCGTAGACTGATGAGCAGGGATTTGGTAGAATCGTCTGATCTGAGCGTAAACACCGAGAGCCGATGTGACAATGCATGTAAGCAAGTCCTTTAAAAAGAGAAGAACAAAGCTTAAACCCAATATTAATTTTTTTTTTATTTACATGAGTACACAAACAGTCTTTTTTGACATAATGCAGTTAAAGGTTGGTGCTGTTCTATTTACAGCACTATGCAAGAACATAGAGTCAGAGACCACCTTTCGTTTATTTAATTTCCAGTCAAAAGTATGTTTTTCAGCTTTCAGGGGATATTTGTGAAGAGATTAGACTCAGTTCACTTGCATAAGGAAAAAAAGAAAGCCAGAAGAAAATATGACTTTCCAAAACTGAGTTTCCAAAACTGGAGTTCAAAAAAATAATTAAAAGCTACAGAAAAAATGGGATTCTGAGCAAAAATAATATTTTTCATTTATCCTTATTTTATTTTATTCATTAAGTTACTATATTGTTGTAAATTTAATGGTTTATTGATTTTTTTTTTTAAGTTACTGCTATAATTGTTATTAGTTTTAGTGATATGTTTTTGCTGTTTAACTTCTCAATCCCTGATTTCTGTATTGGCTCGGCTACATTGTATGTACTCTGAGTTTAAATAAAGGCTGGCTGACCACCTGAAAGACCTGGTAGACACCAAAACTGTCCCCATCAGATAAACAGAGAGGAGAAAATCAAGCTGCTTCAGATCTGAAAACATCCACAGATGTTTCTTTCCATCCTTCCACTGTGAGAAGATGACTCAGCGCTATGGGTCTGAAAGGATGTGTAGCTGTTCAAGAAGCTCTTACTGAGAAAAGGAAACAGACACATCAAACAAAGAAGCTGCACAATGGACTGACCACCCCACAGTCCAGACCTTAATATCACCAAATGTGTGGATTGTGGGAAGCAGAAAATGCTAAACCAACTTCTAAGACTGAACTTTGGAGGTGTGGAAAAACATGCAGATTTCTTTGAATAACTGAAAGCAAGTCTCCCAAAAAAGAATGGAAGTGGACACTCTAAAAACCGCAATGTTTGCTTTTATATACAGTTGCTGAGACTTCTCTGTAAATATATGTGTTTTGCTTTGTCTTGATGCTGAAAAATAAATAGCATTTACTTAAAAGTCATTCTGGAAATTAAATAAAAAAAGATTGATCTCTGACTTTTGCACAGTGCTGTTTGTACCATTAACACAACACTGAGCCTGCATTGATCCTTGGTGGAATAGTCAGTGCAGACTAACTATTTAGACATCTAAGTTAAGCCTGCTGATGTCTGTAAAAAATCCCAAGAACTTGCTTGAAAGAATTTACTTCAAAAGATCAATAACAATTCAAGAATTCACAGCTTACCGTTTACAATACCAGGTTTTTTACTGACACACCAGTAGAAAATATACAGTTTTATAAACACACTTTTGTGCACTTTGTCATGTTTGTTACTTGGCAATTATCTGGCAGCATGACACAGTGTCATTGGGATTTAAGACGGCACTGGACACTTGCAACGGTTTTCTTCTTCTTTGAAACTGCAAATGTCAACTGACGGATACAAAAGTGCATTTCAAAAACAGGAAATGCAGTTGCTCAGAACGCGAGGTCCCTGCCAGCGCCTTCTATCTTTGGTCTCTGTCTCCTCCTCACTTAAACCTTCCGTGCAGTCGTCCTCTCAGAATGTGCCGTTTTATTTTTAAGCACTTGTTACTTGCCCTCTGGTCCAAAAATCTCCTGACATTCAATGAGCATGAACTCCACGATTTGATTCTGGTACACCATGTTGACAGCCATGTTCCCGGTGTCCAGCTCCGGCCACATCAGAGTGGGTCCAAAAACAATACTGATGCCTTGGCTTGACATGAGGTTTTGCCGTGACTTTGTTAGAACTCTGCAAAGAGAAGAAAAGAGGCATGTTACAGAAGAGTGATGTTCACGAACTATTTACTGCACGTTGTTAAAGCTGTTCTTTTTTCCCTACTTTGCTCCAACAATAGTGTAATATGATTACTCGGTAAGACCGAACTGTTATTGGTTTCTCCGTTCATTTGCTAATGTGCTGTATATCCTGCCATAAAATCTGCCCGGGGCATCTGGGATGGCCGGAGGACAGGGTGTACTTGAGGCCTGGAGCTTGGTCTTTTTTGGAGGCATCTAAGGGGGCTTTTAGCTGGATCTCTGCGAGTTGAGGTTTGGCCAGGGCGGGGAGACAATCAATACTGGGGTATTGGAGGACTCTTAGGAGGAGCCAGGATGGAGCCCTCAGGCTGTGTTATGGGTTGAGGCCTGGAAAGAGAGGGAGGGATTGTGGTGGAGGGCGGTGGGCCAAGTTGTCAATGGGATCATGACTAAGAGCTCTGAGGTGGGATGGAGCTTTAACATTCAGAGAGATGTTTCTTTGCAGTGGTGAAGCTATGAAAGGTACTGATTTAAAGGCATAACTGGGCTGTTTAGCACTCCATTATAATCATGTGTAGTTCACATGTATCCGCTGTAAAGCATTAGCATCTCAGCGGTAACTATTGTTTGCATGAGTATACCACCTTCTCTCTCTGCAGGCCCTCTAGTGCAGTGGTTCACAAGCTGGTCCTCAGGGATTCAACTTCCATTCCGCCAACCGAATGGCCACTAGGGTAGTGCTTCTCAAACTAGGGCGGTGGTTCTCAATCCGATCCTCTGGTACCCCTAGATGGTTCAGATTTTTGTGCTATCCCTATGTATAGTGTAAGGTGGGTTAGAGCTAAAATGTGGACCATCTGAAGGTCCGATTAGGGAAGCACTGCCCTAGTGGCCATTTTGCCAGCAGTATGGAAATTGACTTGGATGTTTTGATTAATAAGAGCAAATAAAATATAATTTTACTTAACTCTTTAATCAGATCAACTTGGCTCTCTGTGTTGAGCTGCTAGCGAGCAATGAGGGATGAAACACTTGTGTACAGTGTTGAAACTTGCTTTCTCAACAAAGATGAGATTCCAGTTCACTTCTAGTTTTGTAAAAAGGTCACATTTCTATCAAAATGTGTTCCATCAATGTTACAGAGTGGAAAAAAATAATGTAGAGTTCAAAAACAGACAGAAATTGCTTTGAAAGATGGCTAAACAGTGATACACGTATTCCCTTGTTGTCAAGGGAGGGTGGTCAATTAGTGTGTTTACGTTCTCTTAATAATCCGATAACAGCATAAAAATCGGATTTTGTCAGTAATCCGATCAACGCACTTGAGTAGTCAGATAATGGGAAACCCTGGGTCTACATGAGTCAGGCAGTAATCAGACTTCTGCTTTACAACCAGCCAATGAACTCACAGAAGAAGACGTGACGTAAACGTAATGTAAAACTCGAACTTCATTCCGTGGCTTTTTTTAAAACATCGTGCCGCTTTAAAATGTGAACATACATCATCTAGAAGATGAATAATATTTAAATCCTTCATTTCGTCAAGCATGTAGTTGGTTTCAGCATCGCTCCAAAAGTGTTTCCAAGTGTAACCATCTTGCTTGATTGTTTCCCTACCGCTGTCTGTTTCGCACATGCCCAGACTGAGAAAACCGAAAGAAATCAGAGTAAGAGTTTACATACACTGAGAAATCTGATTATTGAGCTAAAATCCGGCTCTCTTTATCAGATTTCCTAATCGGATTTCTATACCTTACTCCGATCTAAGACATCTGTTTACAGATTTACGTTCAGACTGTCTACATTCAATGTGCTGTTTACATGACCATTTGAATAATCAGATAACTGCAGAAATCCGTCAGTCATTTCTGCTAAAGAGAAAAGAATAACAGTGCTACACCTTACAAGTCCCACCATGTTTGTACGCCACAGAGACCCATTTAATCGGAGCAACCTAACCTAAAAGGCCAACCCAAGCACTGCCAATAATTCCCCGCTTAATGTGCATAATTAACCTCGGCCATTTCGTTTCCCCTGTACATCACAGCCAGACACTCGTCCTGCCACCAGCATTTTAACCTAATTAGCAGGCCGTGATGTAAGGATCTCTGCTGCCATTGCTAATGGTTCGCTAATGATCTTAAAGAGAGAGAGACTTCATTTCCGAAGTGATTTTTTAAAATGTTCAAAATGCAGCCTTTTCTTCCTCCCCTCCGAATCCTGTAGTATTCTGTGGTAATTATTTCATTATAGTATGGCTGTACCGCTGTCGTCATGGTCCTGACCACAATTTGTAATCGAACTGGCTCGGGTAAAGTTATACGGAGGGGAAGCTTTAATTACTTTATTACTATTGAATGACCATTGAAGTAATTGCATTTAATATACTTAATATATGCCTGCTTGTTTGTTTCAATTCAAAGGCCCATTATCTTTTCGAACCATACCCAGCTTAATGCATCTGAGACTGTGTTCATTTTCCTGGTGCACACGAAGCAGTAAAACTCCATCAGAATGAGCTCATTAGACCGTATCAGCCGACTGCAAGCCCAGAGAACAAACTCTGGTGCCGGAGTCAGTGCTGGGCTCTGCCGGTGGCTATCTTGACCGGAGGTGACTGCGCTATGCTTGGCCGAATCCGACAAATCGTTGATATCCTGTACATAAGCCGACGTGCACGACTCAAGATGCCAATGGTTATTAATTAGCATCTCGTTTGCGAGCGGGGCTTGACATGAAATGGAGGAATGGTGCACAATGCCCTGTCCTCCCCCGCCTAGGAGGCTACTGCTAATTGGGTCAGCCTCGTTGGTCCTTAAGGACGGAACGAATAATAAATTGAGGTGGGATGGGGCGCAGGGAAGGGGCATCGCTCCAAGGTTTAAACTGTGTCGTTTTCATCATGTTATTAGAAAATGGCCTCAGCTGAGAAAAGACCAGCCAGTGTCGCAGTTGAGGGTACTGTGTGTACTTGTCTGGTTTTATGTTATTTACATTTGAATGTTAATGTTTTGTGGAAAATTTGAACAAAATTTAGTTACTTTGGCTCTTTAGCAGGGCTTGATTTTAGAACAGCTACATTATACAGTACTGCACAAAAGTCAGAGACCACTCTTTGTTTATGTAATTGCAAAATAGCCAAGTACAAATAATTCATTTTTCAGATAATATCTCTGAGGAGATGATCCACTTGCGTAAGGATGAGGAAAGTCAATGGAAATTAAGTGTGTTTCCAAAACTACAGCTTAAAAATGATTAAAAGCTACAGAGAAAAAGAGACTCCTAACCACTGTCAAAGACCTGGTAGATTCCAGAACTGTCCCCATCAGATAAACAGCACTTAAAGCTTTCATCTTTCAGAGAGAGGAGAAAATCAAGCTGCTTCAGATCTGAAAACATCCACAGGTGTTTCTGTCCATCCTTCCACTGTGAGAAGACGACTCAGCGCTATGGGTCTGAAAGGATGTGTAGCTGTTCAAGAAGCTCTCACTGAGAAAAGGAGACGGACACATCAAACAAAGCAGCTGAACAATGGACTGACCACCCCAGAGTCCAGACCTCAACATCACTGAATGAGAATATTTGGATTGTCAGAAGCAGAAAATGCTAGACCAACTTTTTGAGGTGTGGAAAAATATCCCAGATTTCTTTGAAGAACTGAAAGCAAGTCTCATGGAAGATGAATGGACACAGTAAATGCAGTAAAATGAAATTTTATATTGAGTTTTTAAAGCATAGAATATATTTTTTTAACTTATGTTTTCTGCTTTTTTAACTTAAAGGCTGTTTTGACTCAAAATGACATAAGTAGAAGGTGGTCTCTGACCTTTGTACAGTACTGTATATACATATTTATATCAGCAGTAAGAAACCTTCACTATATATCATTAGAATAAACTGAAATACTGAACAAATGTAGCAAGAATTGGACGTTTTAAAAAAAAAAAGTAGTTGATATCTTGATCAAAATTTGGTTCCAGACTTCACCTGGACACCCCCAGCCATCACATAGATTTGTTTATATCTATCACAAGCACATATGGTTAAGTTTAAATAAGTAATAATGACATAAACCAGGTATTGGATGATAACTACAAATAAGGACAACAACAAAAAAACAAAGTTTCCTTGAGGAGAAGTTTGGAAAAACACACTGAAATACAGAAAACCAAAATCACTGCCTGTTGCATTAATGTCATTGGTGCTTATTTGGATATTAATGTTTTCATGAACAAATAAATGCTTACAGCCAATTAAACACCTTTTTGAATATAATTTTCTCAGTTGCATTAAACTTTTGCACATGTTCTTAGAAATAAAGGTTCTGTGCAGGTACAAGCAATATAAATGTCCCCTCAAAGATACAACAGTGGTTTTAAGGTCCAACCGTGAACCTTAAATATGTTTCTCCCAGTCAAAAAGTACATATTTGTACCATTTCATAACTAACGGTTTTAAAACAGAACAATTAAATAAAAAGCCAGACGAGACGGGGTGTGTGGAGGCAATACAACTTAGAAAATATCATTTTAATGGATGATGGTTCAGTTATGTTCCCTGACTAAAGGTACTGAGATGTACCCTTAAGGGTACCACCCCAGTGACAGTCTACTACCTTTATTTCTGAGAGTGTATAAACACAGTAAACTGATTTCATCTAAATGCTGTGATTTTCCAGACATACTTTATCATCTAAATGCATTTTGCACCTCATTTCATCAGAGTGAATGCAAACAGGTGTTGTCTCCAGATGTTGCAGGAGTGACCATTGTGATAGAGAACAAAACCGGCCTCTAAACGTAAGTCTAAATAAAACTTCCCTGTGACTCTTTGAGGCTATGTTTAGGTACAGACATGTTGGAGATAATTCTGTAACAAGCAGCAAATTACATTTCTTTAATATTCTTTCAATGCGGCTTTCGTTATCCACTGAGCTTAGCTCAAACAGATTTAGAACTAAAGTATACGTTTAGCGTCCAACTCACTTCAGTA